AGGGTATCAGATGCTAAATAAGAAAAAATGCATTCCTCGTGTGGCAAAAAAAAAGATTTTTTCGCAACATCGAAACTTAGACGCTCAAAATTTTGTCTATTTCGAGAACAAAAACTGCAACTATAAAATAAGTGGTCTTATGAATATTGTAGAGCTTTTCACGCTGCATCTTGTGGTATAATTTGTTGAAAAAAGTTCTCTGAAATTTTTCTATTTATATCGATATGAAAATTGTCGCGAACTTTTTTTGCCATACCTTATGTCACCGGTTTTGATGAAACGGGGTGGACACATAGGTCTACTTTTAGTGTCGGAAAACAAATAGTAATCGCGTTTTGCATAGCAAAATAACAAACAAAATCTTTTTGAATGAATTTTTTCATTGAAAATGTTTTTTTTTGCAAGGGAATAAGTGTATATGAATTATAATTTCAGTACATATGAATTAGTGGAGCTCAGACTGGTGCTGGAGATCAGAGTTTATTATCGCTCGCGTGCACTCAAAATATTCTAGAAAATAGTAGCAATTCATAATGTGTAGTAACTATTATCTAGAACTGTATATACCAATTTCATCAACAGCGTTAAATCGTACATATCACAACTTCAATCGTTTTTGTTGAAGTAATTATAAATGCTTTTATACATTTTGATATGAATTTAATAAGATTGAAAATTATTCTCTATTATTGTTTTACGAATCTCTTCTTATAAAATTAATTCTCCGTTGAAAATGCAATGGATAAGAAAAATATTTTGATGATTCATTGCTTTCTTAGGATTACGTTTCTTTTCGTATATGTTACAAGAGATAAAAGAAATATTTGATTCGATAAAAAGATTAATCTTTCAGGAGAAAAAGACTTTTGTACATGTGTTGACATACTGAATAGTCAATAATAAAAATATTCACTATGATCATTATCATTGAGATGTAACGGACTCAGAACTAACAGATAATTATACTTAGTTTTTATTTTTATTGTTCTCATCAATAAAGAGCAAATTTTCATTAATCAAGTTAATATTTGAAGTATTCGTTTATTTATCTAGATTAATAAATTTTTAAGCAAAACTTTAAAATACAGTGCTTTATTCAATTCGTTAGAATATATGTACAATATAAAAAAGTTATGACTACATTGATAATAAACACAATAATATAAGTCATTCAGTTTTTTGTTAGTATTCTGTCTTTGTCTATTTATAATATTCATTCAACTATTTACGATTAATTCGATCCTGCACTTGATTGACCAAGCCAATATGCTATTATAGCTAAAGCTATATATGAACAGAAGTGAGCTACTACCATTAGATCAAACGAATAATTACGAGCCCGTGGTGTAGCAGATACAAATGAATAATTAAGAGCCCATTGTGCAGCAGATGCAAATGTTCCTAATAAAAAAATAGTTGCAACGAATAATAAAGTAATTGGTACTAATTGAAGAGCACCAGTTAAAATCTCGAACATTTGTAAGACAAGAGCGATAATAGTTACAATTAGAAGAATAAATGAAATAACAGAAAGAGCAGCTGGGGGTTTGTAGCATCCATCGCAGAATAAACCATAACCACCCACCCATCCTTTTGTAGATAAACCAATTATACAGAAAAGAGCTGAGATCACTGTAACAATAATGCCAATAATCATCAAAATTCGTCCCCCCAAACGCATGTTTTTCTATTAACGATATAGATCTGATAAGTTGTAAAGGTAACTGTTGAAATAAAACGAATGAAAGCGAGATATAAAATTCCTCTTTTGTAATACGATTTTAGTGAAATGAAGTAAAGAGGTCTTGATTATAGAGCGCGTTAGTCAAAGAATAGTTATAATACTGAGAAAGCTGCGTAAAAAGAATGTCAAAGAAAGAGAAAAAAAAAAAGAACGAACTTTTATACGAATAAAGTATATGATTAATAAAATGTGAAAAAGATAGAGAGAAAGATGCAGACAAAGTACCCGTATTCAATCACCTACTAGTATACTTATAGGTAGTAAGAGAAAGAAAAAGAAAGGAACTATTTTGGATATTGACATTTTTTTTTTCTCCTTCTCTGAATAACTATACGACACTCAGATAAAATTAAAAGAGCAAAGGGTTAACAAGTTGACATGGTAAATATGTAAAAGAATTCAATCGAAAGAAAATTTAAAATTTATATTTAAATCATGGATATTTTCATCGCATCGATGATTTGAAATATTCTAAGAAGCAAAAAAAAAAAGTTAAATTTTATCAACATTAATTCTTTTTATTTTTTTTTACGAAGAAGGTTTTCAATTTCATTCTGATATTTTAAAATAGTACCAGACACGCTCAATGCATTCGTTAGGATCAAAGTAAACCATACTCATAACTTTGATCAATATACGAATGATGCTTTAAACTTTTTACATTCTTTTGAAAACACATATGAATTACATATTGATCAGAAAAAGAGTATATGTAAGATGAAATGAATCGATCTTTGTCATAATGGTAAGGAATGTATTTTTTTTTTGCAAATGTATAAAGAAGTCCACAGCAATTGAATTAGTTATTCTAAGTTATGAAGTATGATTTAGAATATACTTTTTCTCATTTGTAAATACAAGATACCTTGAAGAGAGTATGTTAGAAGACCTATAAACGTATGAATTTATTTAGGATATGTTTTTTCTATGAAATATTTAATAGCTGTTTAACAGATGAATTCATTTTTTGGGTTTCTGCTTATCTTTTTGATTTAGTTTGACGAACAAACTGATATTTGATCAGTAGCTCATACAGGGGGTTTTTTTTTTTCTTGTATTTTCTTTTATAGTGTAAGAGCTTAAGGATTTATTACAAAGAAAAATGGTTTATCATTAAAACTAAATCTAAACATTGAGATCAGTTGATAATATTGAATATGATATTATTATGAAAGTTTATTTGTAACACGAATGGATGTTTAATAATCTACCATGGTTTTTAATATGAACGATTGTAAAAAATATCGTTAATCAAAGACAATCTTTTATGACATTTTTTTTTTTATTGAGAAATTTTGATGTTTTTACAATGTATGTGCATGCTGATAAGAATCGATCAGACTAATCCGAAGCATATAGTGAATGAAAAAAAGTGTACCGAACACTACTTTCAGATATTATCATTGCGTTCCTTTTCTTCAATCAATATTACTCTCCAGCTTTATTTTTTTGTTATTTTGTTTTTTGAATATTTGTTGGCATTGTATTAATTACTTACAAATAAGGGAACGAGAAATCAAGGTAGTAAGAAGATATGTTTCGAAAGAAAAAATTTCATTATTTTAAATCGAGCAACATATAAAAATTCTATATTTAATTTTAACTTGTATTATATTCTAGAATCGTTCACCAACACTTGTAACATGCTCTCATACATCTTTAATTATTCAATCCATAATCATTCTCATATGTTATAGAAAATACACTGCACATTGGCGAGATAGGCAAATATAGATGAAAATATTATTTTTCTAGAGAATAAACGTTCGAATAAATACACAGGTGTACTATAAAGCTTTAGTGAAAAGCGTGCAAATAAAAGAAAGTCAAAGCCCTCGACAAAGTAACAATATTTCCTCAACAAATACTGACACAAAAAAAACTTGTTCACATCATGTATTGAAAGTAATTCAAATTCAATTTAGAATACAGTGGAAAACAAAGAATTTCTTGGTCAAATATTTACACAAAAAATCATCTTTCCATTTAGTGTGGATATTACAGTTTTGAGAAAAATGAAAATGATGTTTAGAATCAACTCATCGAGTTACATTGAACTGTATATAACGAGAACCATTTCCATGAAAATTCAATTTGGTGCTTAGCTATATGCAAATTATTCTTAGATACATTTTGAAAGATGTCACCAACATCTTTTTAGAACACACTTTTGTCTTTCACTTGCATATCACATAATACTATGTGTCGAAAAAGTTCATAGCAATATATGTTTGTCATGAAAATGTATGTTGCTCTGTCATGTATGACTTCTTATGTTAAGTTTGTTTTAGCAACTAAATTAGATATTCAAGATAAATTGGTTGATGACATAATTTCAACGAATTGCGATAATATCGAAGGAGATGATGCTTATAAAATAACAATGAATCTATCTTCTTTAGTTATCATTAGATATATAATGGAAGAAAGTTTGTTCGACATAAAGTTTATGAAATTGTAGAGGTATGTTTATTGTTCATATAGATAGGTATATTCAATCTTAAGGATGTGTGTTTAGGTTCCAGTATCGAGATCAATAATAGCTTTTCTTGATACATACCCACATCCACACTCAGATCGAACCGTTAGTACTAGTTTGAAATTCGTAGTAAAATAGCATATTCGCTGAAAAAGAATCACTGCAATAGGGCATTGACGACAGATATGATAGTGTGTTTTTTTTACAAAGGACAGGGGCGCATAAGAAGCCGATTTGGTCCATAGGATATTTTCAGTCACTTTATCGCCTATCCTATTCAGAAAAATGTGGTGATTCTTTTGGTAATAATTTCAAGTCAAGCTGTGAGGATTATAAGCTATTTTGAGGGAGAATACGTGC